GGGGAACTAAAGCTGTTATATTCATCTATGCTCTTTTCAAAGCTGTCAGTTTTTCTCTTTTCTGTTTTGTCTTTGACAGGAACAGTGATTTTAGTTAGCTGAAGAGGGGAGAGCTGCTGGTCCCCCCAGTGCCTCTGTTAGTTAGTTTGTGGTATTGTGTGACTTAAGTAAATCTGAACTAACACTTTATCCTGTGGATTGCTAGGATATCTGTACTCATTTATTGAAACAGATGACTGTCTGTCTCTGCAGTATCTGGCCTTCACCTGTGGTCTGGTGAGAGGAGCTCTGTCCAACCTGGGAGTGAAGAGTATTGTGACTGCTGAAGTGTCCGTCATGCCAGCATGTAAGACAGGCATCATTCATCCATTATCCACATACAGACAAAAAAGAGTAACTCTACTTCTTGCCTTTGTTCAAGAGCTTTTAACTATATCTGTCATTATCAGTGAATTGAGTTTTTTTTACCATGCTGAGACAAACTCCATCTGCTGAGGAATGCCATGAGATGGTATTGAAAGTTCGAGGAAAAAGTATATTAAGTAGACCATTAGGGTTGGGTCAGTTCTCGGTAATACCAATCCGGTCCGGTACTCCATCTTGGACCGGGTTTTATTTTTTGAGACCGACCGGACCGCATACTTGGGCAGAACGTACGCGGAGCGGACGCCGCGGAGGTCCACCCAGTAAAAGTGGACGTCCGCAAGCCCTGTGCGCGCAAAGCACGACCGCGCGGACTTCGCTCCGTGCACCAGTGTCGAACACAAAAGACTATTCGGCATGTATTTTTCACATCGCAGGGATTTTTCACGGACATTTTTACACGTAGTCCGCTCCGCTTATAGTAAGCCCGAGTCTGTGAGCACCTGTGTCTGCCTCTTCACCAAGCGCACAGCAAGCAGGAGAGAGAGGGGAGTGGGGCGGGGACTGAGCTAGGAAGTGCGAGTGCGCATGCGCCTCTACTGTAACCTGGAATTTGTTTAATAGTGACGGGGAGTCGATAATGGCGGACAGTTTAGTCTCGACGAAATCAAGGAATGCGCCACTATGGCAACACTTTGGCTTTGAGCCAGATGAAGGAGGCAACCCTTGTTTGCACTGATTGAGTAAGCTGCAAAATTTATTTGTAAGGAATAAAAGAAACAACTTGTTACTGTCACTCTGTTGTCCTAAGGTCGTTTTTTATTTTAAATGAGTCAGTTGCGCCCCCAAATGGCGAAAATCCGGTATTACCAACTTGATGCGTTTTTTTTTACAAAAACCGGACCTTTTTTTTTTTTCTCATACCGACCCAACCCTATAGACCATGAGTTAGGACTTTTTGCCAAACTTTTTTTTTCAGTGTTTTTAACGGAGCCCAGTTGGTGTTGTTGGAAAAAAAAATGATTCTCTCAATAAGATAATTTTTGCTCTCACTTTAGTAATTTGTGCTCTGGACTCAATATGTTGTGCTTTGATTTAATATTTGTTTTTGGTTTTAGACTTTCAAGCTCCATCTCTCCCTCTCTCTCTTTGCCCAAACAAAACCACAGAGCCACCCCTTAATGAAAACTATATAGTAGCTGTACAGGGTAACTGCTGCCTCCTTACACAGGACAGCATCTGAGCTTCAGGCTTTTTCCCCACATTCCGGCTCTGAGACCAAAGCCACAATTTGTGTAGCTTTGGTTGGCAAACACTAATGTAGCTCTGGGTCTGGAACCAGTTCTGTTCAGGATTCTTGGAACCTTGGTGCAGTCCAGTGAACCAGCTCGTGTTGAGTGGATTCCTTGTAATGTGCCATCAAAAGAAGGCGTTGCACAATGCATAACAGAACAGTAGTAGCAAAAAGTGGATTGCATTGATTACTTGTGAACTTTTGTTTCACAATTACAGATATTTGTTTATATCCAAAAAACAATACTATATATACTGTAAATCAGGGTTCCCACAGTCACGAAATTCTTGGAAAAGTTATGATATTTGAAAAAGTGTTTTCCAGGCTTGGAAATAGTTTGAAATGAACATAATGTTACAATAGTTTGTACAAGGGAGGATTAGGGCCATGTTAAAAAAAATAAAAATTTTTTAGATTTTGACAATAAAGTCATAAATCTATGAAAGTAGATACGTTGAGTAGCAGTATTAAAAGTATAAAAATGTGGTCAAAAAGTGTTGGGGGTGACAGTAATATAAATTCAAGCAGTAACATTTACCATTATACCTGGCTGTGGCTCAGAGGTAGAGCGGGTTGTCCACCAATCGAAAGATCAGCGGTTCGATCCCAGGCTCCTCCAGGCTGCATGTCGAAGTATCCTTGAGCAAGATACTGAACCCCAAATTGCTCTTGATGGCTGTTCCATCGGTGTGTGAGTGTGTTAAAACTGAGTAGCAGGTGGCACCTTGTATGGTAGCCTTGGCCGCTAGTGTATGAATGTGTGTGTGAATGGGTGAATGTGACTCGTAGTGTAAAAAGCGTTTTGAGTGGTCACTAGATGACTAGAAAGGCGCTATACAAATGCAGGTCCATTTACCATGTTACCTAACTTTCAAGTCTTAATCTCTGACTTTTTTTCTCCTAATATTTAATCTTTATACCTTAATCTTATATATATATATATATATATATATATAATCTTATACTTTAATACTTTGGAGATTTACAACTTTATTCATGAAATCTACTACATATGTTAATAAAATAAAAAACAAAACGTAAAACATGTCTACCATTATGCAAAATGCTTTCCTTGTATTATTAGGATCACATAATACACATAGACCAGAGCTGGCAATGCGTCATTGTCAACCGTTGTCTGAAAAGAATCACAAAATGCTGAAAACTGTTGCGTAGCAGGTTAGATGAGACTTTAACACTGAGATTTGAGACAAATAAAATATTCACTGTCACTGTGGTAAATGGCTAAATGATGCTGGTGACAGTTAACTACTGATGGATGGCTAACGTTAATTTGAGTGGGAAACAATTTTTTTTTTTTTTTTACCAAGAAATAAAAAATGTGGCATGGCCTTGATGTTTTGTGAAGTACCCCTGTGTGCCGGCCTGGTCTGTTGCCATATGCAGTTTGTTGGCGGCTATATGTATATATATATGTGTATGTATATATACACATATACATACACATACATACAGTACAGGCCAAAAGTTTGGACACACCTTCTCATTCAATGCGTTTTCTTTATTTTCATGACTATGCCGATGTCTAACAAGTGAGGAAAGTTAGCATACCGTAGCAGTTTGCCTGTCCCCAAATGCCTGTCAAGTGCTTGTTTAATAGAGTGCTCCAGGAGTGATGATGTTTTTCTGTAGGCCGACCCAAAAACTGGATCCTCCAGGTGAACTTCTACCTTCAGTAAGGTGTGTTTGAGGTGTGTTTGTGACAGTAATCCCTGATATTACTGCAGAGCTTTATTCAGATCAACATGTTTGGGAACTTCTCCCGTTGTCTTCTCAAAACGCTTATGGGATTTTTCCATTGGCTTTTGGGTTATTGCAGAAAATAAGCCCTGTAGCAAACTAACATTTACGATACTCAGACATTTTGTTCAGCAAGATAATCTTCACAAATGAACCCCACTTTTATGACGTTTGAAGTGTAAATGCAGTCATCAGAAGTAAAAAGCTAACATTAGGCTATAAATGAACTACAGCACAGTCATATGACTTAATGTCACCACCACAACAAGGCTGTAAAGCCGTGTTTGGTGTGATGACATTCTATAGTCTCATATAACCACTTGTTAGCAACCACCTTTTCTGAAACACAATGAAGATTTAGAGTTAACGAGTAGGGTATTTATTGACATATTTTATGTTGTCAAACACAGTTCGGTCAAGTTCAGTTCAGTTTGTTATACATTAGAACGGGCATTTTTGCATTTCCATTGTCAAAAGTTGTAGATGGTACCAATAGAACTGTTCTGTTTTGTGCTATTTTTTCATCATCCCTCTGTTTAGATACCAAGCACACTATGCTCACTAAAAGGTGGCACTAGAGGCTCAGATTGTTGTCACACTTGCTCTTCAGGGATGCAGTGCACAAAATCGCTGTTTTTGTAAATGCCCATTGATTGGGACAGAGCCTCTAAACACTCCAGCCTGTTTTGTCTTTGTTTGAAAATGTGGGCGTGTAAATGTTTGGCAAAAACATGGTTTTATTGTACAGTGGCATAAGATCATAGGTAGGCTCTTACTATTTCCTTTGTTTTATTTATTATGATATTTGTGTATGATTATTTTATATTTCAATAACTGTACAGCACTTTGGTCAACTGAGGTTGTTTTTAAATGTGCTTTATAAATAAAGTTTGACTTGACTTGACTTGAGGTAGACTTTACATTCTGACCACAGACTGTGTACTGTATCAACCCAACATAGACTGCACTGCAGTACAACAGCCCAGCACTGCTCTTTCAAATCATTATTTAAAGTCAAATGTTTGAGCCTGTGTCACAAAGCTATTGGCTCTATTCTATGTTAATCATGCTGAGGTTTGGGCTGTTGTGTTGGACTGCTGTTTTTAGAGAGGGATCTCCATCATCTCGTTCAACCCTGTTTTTAAGTTGAGGTGGAAAAATCTTGGAAACATATCCAAGCGAAAGAAAATGGTTTGTTTTTATTCCTGAATAAGAACAAAGAGTGTGCTAACACATGCTTTCTTCTCTGTCTGTTCTGTATATCTGCAGGTAAATTCCAGGTCATGATCCAGAAAATATAGCGACCAACTGAGGCCACTCTGCACTCCCTTCCTCCCTGCCTTCATATATCTTTAAGTTTTTGTCATTGAAGGGAAACGCTGCCCAGTGAAATATAGTTCTCTGTACACTTTGGATCACAATTACAGATGCTGTTATGAAAGTTTGTCCTGACTTCCAACATCCAGAGTCCTGTTTAATGATAACAGTTATTTGAGGAAGAGTGATTCCTGTTGACGCTGCCATTAATCATAAGTGGACAAACACTTTCCACTGCCAAGACACTTTCTGAGTATATAGTTATGTCTCTGTTCTATAAAGTCTTAAGTTTCTCACTAAATTAGTGTGTGAGTATTGTCATTATGGAAGTGCTTTGGCACCCTCTAGTGGCACAACAGTATACTGCACAATCAGTTTGAATTGAGACAGTAAACTGTTAATCCATTTTAAACATGACTGAAATATATTGAGTTATAAACACATTTGCTAGAATTTATCAGTTATATTGTCCCCACCCTACCAGTTAGCTCTGCTTAGAACTTGAGTGCTTTACAGCAAGCTTTAAAATAAATAAATAAATAATTAAATAAATAAATAAAATGGGGCCCAGCTGAGCTGCATAGATGACATGTGGCGACAGTCAAAGGCAGACAGAATTCACATGGAGAACATGCCAAAATGTGTTTTGATAAAAAGATAAGTAGATGAATGAATAAAGAGGTTTACCTGTCATAACAGTGCTCCCCATAGAGTAAAGACACTCATTGTAGCACTAGTAATGATCTGCAGTACCATTGTAGCATTAAAATGTCCAAACTGTATGTACATACATGTATTATAGATGGATTTTGTTGTTATTAAGGTTGAATCTGTTGCAATAAATTATGGAGATATATTTGTGTCTTTATTACATGTGAGAAAATAAATGATATGAGAGGGGGAAAAATGTTTGAGAGAAAAAAAAAATATTTGAGAGAAAAAGTTTTCACACTGATAGCAAAAACTAATTATATTTGAGACTTAAAGAAGTTTTGAGAGAAAGTAGGCTATTTTGTCATAGAATATAAAAAAAAATAATCTGAGATTTAAAAAATGATTTCCAAGAAAAAAACTCTCAAACTTTTTTTACTCTCAAATATTTTTATTTTTGCTATCAGTGTGAAAACATTTTTCTTCTCTCTCTCAAAACCTAAGTCTTTGCTCTCCTCTCAGGATTTCGCGCTCACTGTGAAAATAATGTCATGGGCGGGGCCACGTTCCTATTGGCCAGTCTCAATCGAATTGACAGCTGGGTGAGGATCGTCTTGGGAGTTGAATTCAGCTGAATCATTCATCCACCATGGTGGATTCACCGGCACAGGTACGCTGCGTTATTTGGGAGCGGAGACTCCAATGTTTGGGTAAGATGGTGACACACAATTGATAGCTTGGTAGCTAGCTGAGCAAGTTGGTTATCAAAATCATTCCTATAATGAATCCCTTTTCTCATCTAACGTTATTTTACCGAGATTGTGTTATTAACTGCACTAGCCAGCTAGTGTTAACTTTACATCTAGCTAGGTTATCCCATTAACGTTACTTTACTACGGTGCTTTTCTCTTCCAACATTCCATGTGTGGCAGGGTGAGAGCTGCTACACCTCCACCCTTAAATGGCATCAGCTGGGACTAATTTCCAGTTGTCGGAGCCTAAATGCGCAGTGGTGGCACCTGCGTTATTTGGTCTTCCCCTCACGGGTGCGCTCACTTCTACCTGGCGAGGGCTGTGTGTGTCGTGCTCCGGTTTCTGTACCCAAACTTGGGACTCATAAGGTAGGCATGGGTGCTGCAATGTTTGTGTACTGTTAAAGCGTATTATGGTGTCACAGCTGCCGTGACTCTTCGCTTTACAGCGGCGTAGGCAGTTCCTGTAGTGTGAAGCTTCGGAGGGGACTTTGAAAAGCGTGGTGTCTGCTCTTCCTCACTGTGAGACGGTGACTGGGTTTGAGCTGTGCGCTGTGCGTTAAGCTCCCTTCACTCCGGTAAGCTCGCTCTGTTTTTTTATTTCTACTTCTGCTAGTTGTGTTAACTTTATGTTAACAGGTTGTCCTGCTCTCTGTCCTGCTGTAGCCGAGGCCACAGCTTGTGGCTTCTTCTCCTCCTCTGCGCACTGTGTGGGGCTGCACTCCGCAGCCCGGTGACGTGAGCCGCCAGCTGGGCATTCTGAGGGACGGCTGTCCACGGCCTCCAGCCCCGGTGCGGCAGCTCCGTTTTCCACTGCTGTTCTGCCGGTTTCCCACAGACGGATTAAAGCACACTGTAACGCGGCTGTGCGTTCATGCGGCTTTGGACCTCTGTGTTATATTTGGAAGTCCGTCTCCTGTCCCCATATTTACCAGTGTAAGAATCTGTGTGACCTTCTGTTGTTGAGAGTAGTCTACAGGTTTGAGTGTATTCCCTGGGTTGCAATTCCACAGGTGGTGTTGTCGGTTCATTTCCCTCTCCTCTCCATTTGGCCACACATGCATAACGTTAATGTATGCATATCCGCTCCCAAATAACGCAGCGTACCTGTGCCGTTGAATCCACCATGGTGGATGAATGATTCAGTTGAATTGGACTCCCAAGACGATCCTCACCCAGCTGTCAATTCGATTGAGACTGGCCAATAGGAACGTGGCCCCGCCCATGACATTATTTTCACGGTGAGAGCAAAATCCTGACACCAAAGCAAAGACTTAGGTTTTGAGAGAGAGAAGAAAAATGTTTTGAGAGAAACAATTTTTTGAGAGAAAATGTTTTCACACTGATAACAAAAAATATTTGAGAGTAAAAAAAAGTTTTGAGTTTTTTTTCTCGGAAATCATTTTTTAAATCTCAGAATATTTTTTTTAATATTCTATGACAGTCTCAAATATTTATTTTTTTTGCTATCTGTGTGAAAACTTTTTCTCTCATTTTTTTTCTCTCAAACATTTTTTTCCCCTCATTTATTTTCTCACATGTAATAAAGACACAAATATAGCTCCATATAAATTGCCTTGCTGTCTACTTTCCAGCTTTAATTTTCTGGTTAACGAAAGCCAAGTTATAAACTATTTGTGGCAAACAGATCAAGGAATCTACAGTGTTTTCAGAAATAATCCAGAGCCCTTTACTTTTTTCACATTTCATGTTGCAGTCTTGTTCTAAATCTTTTTGATTATTTTTCCCTCAATAATGTACACATCAGTAGTAGTAGTAGTAGTAAGTAGAGAGGCAGTGAGTGGATTACTCACAAAGGCAGTGTCAGGTGGTTGTCAGGCAGGTGTCAAGACAGTGGTGAGTGACAGGTCCGCTGCCAAAATGTTTGTTTTTCAATGATTTTAATTGCCTCCATTGAAGAGATTCTGATTTTGCCTGTTGCGAATAAAAAGGAACAGGAATACACTTACTTTAACTTTTATGTGACCCTACACATCTACACAGCAGCAGAGTGACAGCTGACACTGACATAGTTAAGTGGTACAAATATTAGAATTTTAATATAATCTTGAACTATAAAATTTTAAGATACAAATACAGATTAATAAAATAAAAAATATCTTGAGTCAGCATCTGCTGCTGCTTAGATATCAGGTGGCAGTTGATGCCACTGGAAGTCAAAGGATTGCCACTATATCGCAGATGTGTGCCACTAGAGGTCAGAGCAGTGCCACAAGAGGTCAGAGTGGTGCCACTAAAATTCAGAGTGCCACTAGAAGTTAGAGCAAGTGCCACTTAAAGTCAGAGAGGTGCCACCAGAAGTCAAAGCAGGCCCACTAAAATTCAGAGGAGTGCCACTAGAAGTCAGAGCAGTGTCACTAGAAGTCAGAGAGGTGCCGCTTGATGTTTTTGTTGGTGTTGTTTTTGTTTACAAGAGGAAATTCACTCTGCCTCAACAAACTGATTTTATTTACCGTTTGTTACCACTGAAAATGTCTTAACAAATGTCAGTAGGCAGCTGACAAACCCCCTACATGCTACATGCTCCCCATCTAACAGCAGACACAGTAACAGTACTCTACTCTGATGTCATCATCCATATTGATTAGTGCAGCCTTAATAAATAGAGGCTGGTGTGGGGGTGGTCTTCTGGGTTGGAGGCAGAGGCTCATTGTTAAGAGGCATCATTTGAGACAAGCATGTAATGACAATGCACACAGTGTACTGTATCACTATCGCCTCAATTAGGAAGCATCAATTAGTCCAGTCACTTGATAACACTTAATATGGACTCATGGAAGATTATCCAATGAACTAAAATAGATAACAATAAAAATCAAATCAAAGACTGTGCAACAAAAGTCTTACTTTTCTCCCGTCTCTGATAGGGCTGTTACCAGGGGTGTCACTAGACTTTAAGACTGTGCTGGGGCACAGAATGCATGCTCGCGCGTGAAGCACTTATTTAGAATTAAAAGCTTAAATAGTGCTTTAAACTATACAGTCAGATTATGTTGTTGACTGGATCTTTGATTAACCACCTGAATGAACTGATGCATTTGGCCTACTTGTGGACTTGCAAAATCGAATTTGGGGCGACAAAACCAGATATTTTTAGCCATTTTTCTGGTGACAAAACAATATAAGAACCATGATGGTGGGACATTCTGTCACTTCAGTTGTCCAAAACATGTGGTTTGTGCCAGACGGACATGATTGCCAGTATTTTTTCATTATTGCAAGAAATTCCATTGACTCATTCACAAGTCAAAAATGTGTTTTATCTGAAAGAAACATGCAATATTTACATCTAGGATCATAGAAAAATAGTCAACCAAGTGCAATGATGTCCTCAAACATAATATTTGTTTTTCAGTTTCAGTTATACAGTACAGGCCAAAAGTTTGGACACACCTTCTCATTCAATGCGTTTTCTTTATTTTCATGACTATTTACATTGTAGATTCTCACTGAAGGCATCAAAACTATGAATGAACACATGTGTAGTTATGTACTTAAAAAAAAAAGGTGAAATAACTGAAAACATGTTTTATATTCTAGTTTCTTCAAAATAGCCACCCTTTGCTCTGATTACTGCTTTGCACACTCTTGGCATTCTCTCCATGAGCTTCAANCTCTGGCCCCAGGGATACATTTGACTATGGCCGCTGGTGTTGCTAACTTCACGTTCCTCAGAATAGAGCTGCCAATAACCAGAGTTTTATCTTCAGCGGGTGTGTCGCTGAGTGGGGAAAAGCGGTTGGAAATGTGAACAGGCTAGTGGTGAACCGTGGGCTTTGGCTTGGAGCTATGCTTCTCACGGACAGCTACCCAGCCTCCCGGCTGCACGGGTGTTACCGGAGGACCGCTAGCAGAGGTTATGCTATGTGGCTCCGCACTGGCTACAGGGGACTGGCTAACTACCGCAGCTACCGAGTGATTCTAATTCACTGAGCCTCGCCTCCAACACAGCAAATAAGCTACACTTTTACAATTACCACTGTCGCTAAAGGAGGCAGAGGCATAACTGAACATTTGGCACACTGAGCAAGAAAGAGCAGAGGGAGAAGCCATCAATAACTATTAAGCTAATGTAGCTAACAAGGCTAGTAACGTGCCAACACCAGCTAAGAGATTAGCAAGGAAGTCGTAAAAGGAGGAGAGCTATAAGTGCTTAAACAGAACTAGTGTGGGTTAAGTCTTGAATTAGATGTTAAGACACTGAGGTGAGAAAAGCAGAAAGCAGGCTAGTAGAATTCGCTAGAGCAGCACAGAGACGCTGTCACAGAAAACGCCGGAAATGACACAATGCGCTTACCGCAATACATCAGCACGTCCAAGACATAGACATACTGATGGACATCACCAAAACAGCAGTATGCCTCAAAGTGTGGCCATTCAAAGAACAACTATTAACGCATTTATCTTTAGATGTGGTCAGACAACACATCAT